CCCTAAACCCTGAAGCCTAGAGCCCAAGCGCCCAACCCCTAGCCGCACCTTGAAACCCGGAAGCCCAAACCGTTTCCGCCTGAAGCTTCAGAGGTCTTCCATTCAGAGTGGTCGCTTGGCGGTCCACGTGAACACAGTAAACACAGGTGTGACCTACTGGAACCCGGAGGACCTGGGAAATACATTGGTTTTTTTTAATGTAAAAGGCAAATAGGGCGGTAGCGTGTGGATGAGGGTGTAGGGATTACGCCTCAGGTTGCCCCTCCCCCAAACCAACATGGAACCCCACCCAGCTTTGTTTTAAAGGGACGGGAGCTATGTTGGCCCCCTTTCTGGGCTCCATGCTACTTCGGGGGAGGGTAGGATCGCGACCTTTGGAGGACGAAGAGTGCAGGATGTAGAGCCTCAGCAAAACCTGAGTCAGACAAGTGAAATTTCAGGAGGGTGGGTTTGGGGTTTAGGGTTGCATTTCGAGTACAACAACGTATTCAATTCCTAGGGTCGAGAGTGCATCCGATTTCGAGGGACTGGGTTGCAGGACCAGGTCCAATCAAAGAGGGAATTTTTGAGCTCGCCCCTGAAAGGGCCCTCACGAACAACCCAACTTTAACCCTAGGGGTTTAGGGTTCAGGTTGTAGGGTTTCTGTAGTCCTGATGAGGAACCTCAAGAGCCCCTTTCATCCGCGGTTTAGGGTTTAGGGTTTAGGATGGCCCGCCCAGTTCTGAGAAATCCAAATTAGCGTCCCATTGTTGTAGCCCAAAACTCAGGCGTTGTAACTGTAACTTGCATCCCCGAAAGAGCCCGACTTGTTGCGACGAACCCCTATAACTGCCCCAGCGAGATTCGGGATATTCTCTTTGATCAGAGAATCAGGACTCCGACCCTTAACCCTAAACCCCACTAATCCCTAAACCCTAAGCCCTAAACCCCAAATCTTAAACCCTAAGCCCGGAGGACAACGTGTCAGGCTTCGCCGGTGTTCCAGCCAACATGACGGGCCTGGGGGAGAAGATGCAGCACGCCGGCTACCGGACGCACCTGGTGCAGAGTTCGAAGCACTTTAGGGTTTAGGGTTTAGGGTTAGCCCAACCGCTCAAACCCCAGACTATCCCCTACGCCCCGACCAAACTCTACACCCTGAATCCTAAGCCCTAATTCCAAAGCCTGAAACGCCCGAACCCAAATCCTGAACCCAAATCCCTTGACAGGTGGGCAAATGGGACGTGGGGATGGCTACGCCCTTGCACACTCCGCTTGGGAAGGGATATGATTCCTGGCTGGGCTACTTCCAGCATGCCAATGACTACTGGCAAGAAAGCATGCCCTTAGCATCCACAGGCAATGTTGACATTTGCTTGAACCTTGGCTGTAAGAGATCTTTGCAATTCTGCGTTCTTATCAGGATATGTACAAGGAACGTCTAGACAAATTTGACATTGCAGCTTTTTGACATGGCAGGAATAAGTTCAGAGACTTCTCCATCTACAACAGAACGTACCGGGCGGGTGTCACAGAAGCCGTGGCTAGCGAGTTTGGATGCAATGCCAATGTCAAGCATGTCCAGAAAACGGGAATCAAGCCGCAGGCGGGAACTGGATGTGGTGGATGCAGGAAATTTTCCAACTAGGACTCAGCTAGGGCGCCCAACATATTGCAATTCAGTAACTCACGGGACCTAGGACTTTATAGTTTGAAGGTGGTGCCAGGTGTCCACATCAACAGTATCCCTGAGTCATCGTGATACTGTTCATGGATCAAACCTTGCAGCATCTAAAGTCCCTAAACCCTTAAGTCCCTAAACCCTAAACCCTAAATCCGGAATCCTAAACCCTAAACCCTAAATCCTAAACCCTAAACCCTAAACCCTAACTCCTGAACCCAAAACCCAATGAGCCACAATCAGGATTCAGAGCCAAGGACCCAGGGACCCAGGCGGCGCAAGGTTTCATCCATGAACCATATGAGCCATAATCAGGCTTGCCTGGGAGACCTCAGGGGCTTTTGAGTTATAATCGGAACTTTTCGAAGGCGGGTTGTATATGGTTTAGGGTTTAGAGTTTAGGGTTCAGGATTAGGGTTTAGGGTCTAAACTCCATAAAGAGGGGTTATATACGGGGTTATGTAGGGAACTACTATGGGGGCTCTTAAGGGAGATACGCAGAGTTTAGACTATAGCTCATATCATCCGATTGTAACCCTAGAGTCCCCTTAAAACGGACAGTATCTTATAGGACTACTTAATTACTTGTCTCAGCATTTGTCAGAGGGTAGAAGTATGGGCCCCGAATATGGGCCCGTAGACCTTTTTAGGGGGATTCTAGGGACCCTTAAGGGTACACATAGGGTATATAGTAGGTATATAATTTAGGGTTTAGGGTTTGGGGTTTAGGGTACTCTACACCCTGAATTGCAGATCGGGGTGTGTGCAAGACTTGCACCGTAACCATGAAAGCTAGAATCTTCAATTCCGCACTCTAAATCGCAGGTTGCAGCCTGGGGGATGTGGATGATGAAAGTTGAGCCCGCAACCCTTAACCCTGCGCAGGTCAATGCAACTGGTTGCAACAAGGATGATCCCGACTACTGTCTTCCCGACGGTTGCTTCGAAGAGGCTATGTTCAACCAGCATCTGGGCGCTTGTTAGAGCGGTCATGGCTTAGGGTTAAGGCTTGAGGCTTAAGGGATTATTCCTAAAATGCTGAACCCCTAGGCGCTCTAGTAAACCCTAAAGCTAAAACAAAAAAAGCTAAGACTTTGAACCCTAAACTCTACACCAATCCCTAGAACCCTTGACCCTATCAACCCCTAAAGCATTCAAGCATTGCATGCCTGACTTTGCTTGCAGGTATGCCCTGAAGATCATCAGGGAGCACGACCGCCACCAGCCCCTCTTCCTCTTCTACTCCTTCCACCTACTCCACACTCCCTTGCAGATCCCCGAGTCCTACTTGCAGCTGGACCCCGCCGTAGCACATGTTTTAGGGTTCAAGGTTTAGGGTTTAGGGGAGCCTTATTTGCAGTCGGATCCCACCGCAGCCCTCAGCCGCTGTGAAACCCCAAACTTTACATCCTAAACCCTGAATCCTACACACTTAGCCCTACATCCTACACGCTGAATGCTAAGCCCTAAACCTTTAGCCCTCAAAAGCCTTCATTTCATCCTTAACCATTAGCGCGAAATCCAATGCCCGAAGCCCCATGCACCCTAAATCCTCTCAGTCAACAACGGTTCAGAATTCCTTAAGCCCTAAACTCCCCAAAGCCCCCCAAGAAACGTAACCTCTCCAAAGCCCTAAAAACCACAAACCTTCAAAACCCTCAAAACCCCAAAAAATCCTAAAACCTAAACCCTAAGCCCTAAACCCTAAACCTTAAACCCTAAACCCTAAATCCTAAATCCATAAACCCTAAACCCTCAACCCCCCCAACAAACCTTCAACCCAGGCAGGAGATTGACCGCCTGGTGGCCCAAAGCCAGGTCCCTCATAGCATCCCGTGGACACAAAACCGGAGGCTCTACGCCGCCATGACTTTGTGCCTGGGCTAGGGATGGTTTTTAGGGTTAGGGTCCAGGGCTCCGGGTTTAGGGTTTAGGGTCCAGGGCATAGGGTTTGGGGTGTAAGCCCTAAACCCTAAACCCTAAACCCTAAGTGTTCAGGGTTTAGGGTCTAATGCTTTGGGTTTAGGATTTAGGGGTTTAGGGCTAAGGGCTTCCTTGGACGCCCATGGGACTTAGTAACTACTTATATCTGGGCTTATGACCCTACTTATAATCCCCCTAAATGGGCTTATAGGGGTCACCCCAAGTATAGGGAGGGTTGTAATCCCAGTTATAGGTAGTTACTAAGTCCCATGGGCCTCCAAGTAGGGTTTAGGGTTCAGGTTTCAGGGATCAGGACTTGGGGGGTTTAGGTAGGCATCGGGGTGGTTGGCCTGCGACTTCTGCACAAGCATTTTTTCAGGTGGATACATTAATTTCCCCTTGCAGAACTTTCATACGGGCCCTATATCCCTTCTGTGTTCCGATTTGAATTGTCTTTAATCTTCCCGTCCCAGGGATTAAACGGTTTGTAGCCCGAAAAGGCGGGATTTCTCAAAATCATGTGTGCTTTTCTGGAGGTTCGCTGCAACGAGGACTTTATTTATTTGGGGGGTATGTTGGGGGACCCCGATCCACACGTTTGGCTTTCAGGTACATGGACACCATGGTGGGCAACTTGATTGCTGCCCTCAAAGAGCGCCAGATGTACCAAGACACGCTCATCGTGTTCCCGGGTTGCTGTCATGGTGCCCTAAACCCTAAGCCCTCAAACCTAAACCCTAAATCTTAAACCCTGTACCTACATCTATTATGGTAACTTAAGTCAAATTCCATAACTTGGGTACTGCCCCCCACCCAGTAACAGTCAATATTAGGGGTCCTATTAAGGGCTATATATACCCATATTTCAATTATTATCCAACTGTTACTGAGGGGGGGAGTACCCAACTTAAGCCCTAAACCTTAAACCCTAAACCCTAAACCCTAAACCTTAAACCCAAAACCCTAAACCCTATTACTTATAGGAGCTTCAGGGGGGATCCATAACAGCAACCCAGATTCACCGCGGACAACGGCGGGCCTGTCTACGAGCCTGGCTCTGCCAACAACTGGCCCTTGAAAGGCAGGCTTGACCTTTAAAGGGGGAGTATATGGGGAGAATTCTATAGGGTTTAGGACCTTTAAAGGGGAAGTATATGGGGGGAATTCTATAGGGTTTAGGATCTTTAAGGGGGATTATATGGGGGAATTCTATAGGGTTTAGGGTCTTTAAGGGGGGTTATATGGGGGATTCTATAGGGTTTAGTGTCTTTAAGGGGGGTTATATGGGGGATTCCATGAGGTTTAGGGTTTAGGGTCTAAACTCCTTCATGGCCTCAATACTCCCAAGAGCTCACGCAAAATCACCTGAAGCCCTCGAAAACGCAAACTGAAGTCCTCACGTTAATCCATCAGCTTAAAACTCCAAAACCCCAAAGCCCAAACTCACAAACCCTAAGCCCTAAATCCTAAACCCTAAACCCTAAACCCTAAATCCTAAACCCTAAATCCTAAAACCTAGACCCTAAACCCTAAAGAGGAGGCAAGTACAGTGACTGGGAGGGAGGCGTGCGAACCAACGCCTTCGTGTCGGGTGGCTTCGTGCCCTGGGCGCGGCGTGGCACGAAGCTGGGTTGCTGTCAAGGAACTTAATTTAAGTTACCATATTAGTTTAGGGTTTAAGGTTTAGGGTTTAGGGTTACTATATTGGGGAAACCCTATTATTCATTATATATACCCATTATGGTAACTTAATGTAAGTTCCTTAACAGCAACCCAGGAAGTTCAGCGGTGTGATCTCCATCGCGGAGCCTCAGAGCACTTGAAAGGGGTTTAGGGTTTTAGGGGTTTAGGGTTTAGGGGTTTAGGGGTTTAGGGGTTTAGGGTTTAGGGTTATTATAGGGGTACTCGGAGTTTAGATTGTAGCAATAGCTTGAGAACACACCTCTTCGAGAATACACCTGTTCTCCGTGTTGGTATTCTTGTTCTGTTATTCTTATTCTTCTTATTCAATAGTACTTCTGCAATGTGATCGCTACGAATTTATCAGTGTGTTAGTAATGGTAGTGGTAACATGTCTGCCACGGCAACCATTCCTGTCATTTGGAGGCCCATGGGACTTAGTAACTACTTATAACTGGGCTTATGACCCTACTTATAATCCCCCTAAATGGGCTTATAGGGATTACCCCAATTATAAGTAGGGTTACAAGCCCAGTTATAAGTAGTTAGTAAGTCCTATAGGGATATATAGGGTTTAGGGCTTGCCCAAAATTAGGGGTGCCATTTTGGAGGCCCCCATAATAAGGACTATAGTCTGGTCGGGTCTATATTGGGGTCCCCTCATTTTGGGAACCTACCACATTACTTCCATTGTGTTCCACACACACACGCACACTCTCCACTTATTTGTTGTGCTTGGAACCATTGACCCGTTGCTGGCCTTGGGAGGTGCGTTCAGGGTTGTCCAGGACCCAGGATAAGGTTGCGTCTAAGGTTCAGGATTGCAGGATTTTTTGTATCCTAATCCCTTAGCCCTACACCCTAAAACCCTAAACACTAGTAAGGGGATTTTGATAGGGATTTTGATAACCCCGCTGCCTATAATAAAGATCCTGTCGGAGTCATATTATGATGGTCATAGGCTTTCAGGTTTAAGGTGCAGGGTTTAGGATTCAGGATTTAGGGTTTAGGGCCTTAATTTCAGTGTTGGGGCTACCCCCAATGCCCTTGTAGGTGGATAGTTCCCCAAATTTTGGTCCAATTTTTCAACCCCAGGATAGTAGGCGTCATAATTTTAATCTACAACCAAAAGTGGCACCCTAAACCCTAAACCCCAAACCCCAAGTGTTTCTTGCAGGATTGGTATGCAACGCTGGCCACCATCGTGGGCGTTCCCGTCCACGACGAGAAGGCGGAGGAAGCCAACAAGTACTTGGTTCAGAATGGCTTGCCCCTGCTACTGGGTCGCTGTCGAGGAGTTTTCATTTAAGTTATTATTTCGGGGAAACCATATTAATAGTATATATACCCATTATGCTAGCTTATTTTACCCTAAACCCTATATGCCGCTATATCCCTATGTTTAACCTACATATTTCAATAACTTAGTTTAAGTTCCTGTATTGGGGAAACCATAATAATTAGCATATGTTTATATATCCATTATGGTATTTAAGCCCTAAAGCCTAAACCGCAACCCAGGCTACCCCCAGTGGATGGCCGGCCCCAGTGGGAGAACATTGTTTGGGACATCAACGGCCGCAGGGATGCGCTGCATCTTAGCCAGGAGGCCCTCCTGTGCCTGGGTTGCGGTTAAGGAATTTAGTTTAGGGTTTAGGGTTTAGGGTTCAGGGTTTAGGGTTAAGGAATTTAATTTAAGCCGCTATATTGGGGAAACCTTATTCTTTACTATTTATACCCATATAGGGTGGCTTGAATCAAGTTCCTTAACCCTAAGCCCTATATACCCCCTATATAGTCCCACATAACCCCCACACAACCCACTTAAAAGGGACCCAGTTATTCAGCCCAGGTGGTGGCCTTTCAAGCTTGTGACGGGCCAACAGCCGTACAGCTTCCACCAAGGCCCGGTATACCCCAACTGCACAACGGAAGAAGGCTGGATTGTGGTTAAGGAACTTAAACTAAGTTACTATATGAGTTATAGTCTAAACTCCTAAAAGGGGGGTTATGTACGGGATGATATAGGGGACTACTATAGGGGGTTATTAAGGGGGGATACTAGGAGCTTAGACTATAGCTCATATTGGGGGTATAATATAGGGTTTAGGGTTCAGGGTTACTATACTCGGGAAACCCTACTAACTACTACATATACCCATTATGGTAACTTGATTTCATTTCCTCAACTGCACCACGGAAGAAGGTCTGCATGCAGACGAGGGGCCCATCTTCTCCGACATGCATGTTTCTGCAGTCTCCTTAGGAAGTATTTTGAATTTTTGTGACAGTATAGCCCTTAAGGAATTATTCAACATGTTATTTTGTTATACTACGGCCCTAAGGAATTGCTAAAAACATGTTATGTTTATTCTAGGGGACTACAGGTTTTTGGCGAGCCCATCTACCCGAGCGCGAATGCCACGCAGCAGGACCAGCTCACGATGGCCAGCGACTGCGGCTACGGCGGCTGCCTCTTCAACGTGGAGCGCGACCCCGAGGAATTAGAGGACCTTGCCGCGGACCCGGTCTACTCCGATTTGCTCTTCCAGATCCTAGAAACCCCTATTACGCGGTTTAGGGATTAGGGTTTAAGGGTTGAGGGTTTACGGTTTAAGGGTCTAGGGGTTAGGTTGTTTTAACTTCCTTCATTTTCCTGCGTTGCCTTTCTGGTTACTGGGGAACCAACCCTAAACCCTATAATCCTACATAACCCTAAGCCCTAAACCCTAACCCCTAAAGAACCCCCTATATACACCTATGAAGGGGTTCCTGGGTAACTAAGGATGCAGAAGAAGCTCTACTACCTCAACGAAGGCGGGCCATGTCAGCTTTCAATCTCCGCAGGGTTTAGGGTTTAGGGTTTCCCAAAATAAGGGAACCCCAATATAGACCCCAAAATACTATAAGTTCTTATTCTTGGGACCCTCAAAAAGGTACCCCTAAACCCCAAACCCTAAACCCCAAACCCGAAACCCTAAAACCTGAAACTCCCATTGTGTTTTGTTCTTTGATCTGATATCATGAGCTTCTGCGGCCGTATTCAGGGCTTAGGACTCAGGGCTTAGGATTTAGGGCTTAGGGCTTAGGGTCTAAGAGTTTAGGGCCTAAGGGTTTAGGGCTTAGGATTTAGGGCTTAGGCTTTAGGGCTTAGGGTTTAGGGCGCTTAGGGTTTAGGGCTTAGGGTTTAGGGTTTAGGGCTCAGGACTTAGGGTTGAGGGGTCAGATCCGAAGGAACAGGAACAATTAAGAGCTTGGCCTTCGCGTTCCGGGGCGTGCGGTTCTCCTCAAACTCTCATGCCATGTCCATATTTGATATCGTAGGTGGTTACGGGCAGTTTCCTAAGGCCTAACACGCCTACGGCCTAAGCCGCAAAATCTAAATTGCAAACTTAGCTCCAAACACAAACCCCTAGCCCCAAACCCCAAACCATTAACCCTAGGCCTCAAACCCAAAACCCTAAACCCTTAAAGATTTAGCCGTTACCCTTCATCCCAAGCCCTGAATGAAAAGGTTTTAAGCCCTGAAGCCTCAATCCTGCACCTTAAACCTTGCTCCCTGAACCCTACACTCCAAACTGAAGCCCTAAACCCTAAACCCTAGACCCCAAACTCAAGCCCTAAACCCTAAACCCTTCTCCCTTTCAGCCTTAATCACCTTCTTCAACTACCACGTTCCCTACACCCTCTACCCTCAATCCTTTCCCCCACCCTAAACCCCTAAACCCTCCTAAGACGTTTGCAAGCAACTTCAACCCAAACTTTATTCCTGGGGCCCTCAAACTCTAAACCCAAAACCCTAAACGCAAGCCCTAAACCCTAGACTGCTGAAAGCGGTAAACCCCAAACCCTAAGCCCTAAACACCCTCTAAAAAACCCTAAGCCCTAAACACCCTCTAAAAACCACCCAAAACCCTAAACCCTTGACCTAAGACCCTAAACCCTAAACCCTACTTAACCCCCCCAACCCTAAAACCAAAGCCCTAAGCCCTACTTAAACCTTAAACCCTAAACCCACCCTCCTAAACCCAAAACCCTAAACCAGTTGCAGGCAACTTCAACCCCAACCGCGGCGAGCCAGCCGTCGGAGCGTGCCTCCAAGCCGCCGACCTCGGGGGCCGGAGCCCACAGAGATACGGGACTTTCGGTTTAGGGGGGATTAGGGGTATACAGGGTTTAGGGTTTAGGGTTTAGGGTTTAAGGTCTAGAGGGTTTAGGGGTTTTAGGGTTTAGGGTTTAGCGTTTAAGGTATACAGGGTTTAGGGGGTTTAGGGGTGGGGTAGGGGGGTATTAGGGTACTATTGGGGTTTTTTTAGGGGTAATGGAGAAGAAAATGGAAACTACTATTTAGGTTTAGGGTTTAAGTCTTAGGGTTTAGGGTTTGAGGTATAAAGGGTTTAAGGGTTTTAGGGTCGAGGGATTAGGGTTAAGGGTTTAGGGATTAGGGTTTAGGGGTTGGGCTTTAGGGATTGTGTGTGTGTGTGTGTGTGTGGAGTTTTAGGGTGTAAGTAATAGTAAGTAATATATATATATGTCTACATATACATAGAGTTTAGGGTTTAGGATTTAGGGATGCATACCCCGAATATAGGAGAATCACATGGACAGGAAAGTGCAAAATGAAATGGAACCCTAGGTTGATTCAAAGGGGCATGTAGGGATGTATAGGGAGATATAGGGATATTACCCCAACCATGGAGAATTAAATGGGAAAGACAATCAACATTGCAATGGAAACTGGGGTTCTTTCCGGATTTAGAGGGTTGTAGGTTTAAGGGTGAGGGGTAGCGGCTGGCTGGCATAACCCCTGAGGCCTTTAAACCCCGAAAGCCTTAACCCTTAAAGCCTAAACCCTAAACCCGTGACCCTTTAACCATGTATAAAACTTATATACAAGCCATGCATCCGTGGTAAAACTTCTTCATAAAGTCTCTAGAAACTGCAGAAGCCCCTCAGAAAACGTCTTGAACCCCCTACAAACCTCCTTAAAAAACGCAAAAGTCTTACACAAACCCCCTCATCACCCCTTTGTAAACCCTCCATAAACCTGCCCCCAAGTACAAACAGCCAGGAATAGGTCTGAGGGCTCCATTTTCGGGTCAGTAAAATTCCCCCAACTATTCTGTGTATCCGCTCGCAAAAGCATCTTTTTCTTTTCAAAAACGGCAGGTTCTATCTACATCAGAATGACTATTAACCCCTAAAAGCCTAAACCCCTAAAGCCCAAACCCTAAAACCCTTAGCGCCTTAACCCCAAACCCTAAACCTTTAAAGCCTGAAAGCCTAAACTGGCCTAAGCCCTCAACCCTTAAAGCCTGAACCCTTAAAGCCTAAACCTTAAACCCTGAAAGCATAAGCCCTGAACCCCAAACCCTAAACCCAAGAAAGCTGCAGGGTAGGAGGTCGACGGACCCCTAACACCCCCTTTAACGCCAGGCTTCTACGGTCCTTTCCTAGAGGTTGATGACTTCTACAAGGGAGTGCACCTCACGGAGGACCTGAACAGCCAAGTTGTCCTAGCTGGTTGACCAATATGTCTTTGATCTTGGGGAAACAGGTTCATAAAATCTACTTACAGGGCTTCAAAGGAGTACCCCAAACCCTACACCCTAAACTCCGAGGGATCCGGGCTATATTCAAAGGTGAGGCTTGACTTCTGTAGAAGTTATGATCACCCGGTTGACTTGTGTGGGTGTAGGGCTTTTGCATCTCGGGGCCCTCCACCTGAGGGTTTTGGGTTTAGGGCAAGGGATTGCACAAATTTTTGCTTGAGAACTTTGTGGTTTTGTTTCGCGAAGCTCCGAAGTATCACCCTTTCTTTGTCAAAGCCTTTGTACGACGTTCAATCAACGAGATGCGCTAGTGCATAGAGTTCGTGCAGAGGGATATGCAAAGTGAAGGGGCCTGGACAATTTCCAATATCATTCTGAGGTCTGTTTCAGATACCCTAGACAATAATTGTTCAAGCGTTCTTTGATAACTTGTGCGTCTGCAAGTGCAGGTTTGCAGTGCAAAGACTAAACTCACCAAACTAACCCCCAAACTACCACCCTAAATGCGAACTCTTCTACGCCAGCGGGGCAATCCGAGGTTTGCTCCCAGAGGTCTTTCCCTTGCATCGGAATCTCAAACCCAAAGCTCCGAAAAGTTAAAGGTCAGTGGAACCCCCTTTAAAGGCACCCGATACCCAAACTTACAGGAGCTATAGTCTAAACTCTTGTAATAGGGGATTATATAGGGGATTATATAGGGGACTGCTATAGGGGATATTAAGGGGGATACTAGGAGTTTAGCCATTAAGGGTTGAACCCTAAACCCTAAACCCTAAACCCCTTAAAAAAAAGCCCTTTAAGCAGTTTAGACTATAGCTCACATGACTCTGAAAGTTCTGCCAGGAGCAGAAGGTTGTCGAGGCGGCAAACAAGAAGGAACTCCTCCGCCTGAACGAAACGCTGCAGAAGGAAAGGGGGGTTCCATTAGGGTTTAGGGTTTAGGTGGATGTGGGCGTTTCCATAAATTAGGGGTCCCTTTTCCGGGGTCCCTATAAACAAGATTGTGTTATTCTGGGGTTTATCATAGGGCCTTTTTACATAAGGAAGCTATCATATGTCGATGATTTTGCTGCACAGGGTTAAGTGCGTGGGGTTCCCCTCTTGGAAGTGCAGTATATAGCAAATATTTGGGTTTCCTTATCATAGTGACTTAGTTTAAATTCCTGAACAGCAACCCAGTAGACCCTAGGCCCGAAACCCCTAAAACTCTAAATCCAAATCCCTGAACCCTGAAAACCCTAAACTCCAAATGCCTAATTCCCTAAACCCTGAAAACCCTAAACCCCAAATGCCTAAACCCCTAAACCCGGAAAACCCTAAAGCCCAAATGCCTAAACCCCTAAACCCTGAAAACCCTGAACCCCAAATGCCTAAATCCTGAAACCCTAAGCCCCGAATCCCGAACCCCAAGTGCCTAACTCCCTAAATAGTGAAAACTCTAAACCCCAAATGCTGAATCCCTAAACCCTAAATTCCTAAATCCCTAAACCCTGAATCCCTAAACCCTGGAAAAAACCCTGAACCCCAAATGCTTGAATCCGTAAATCCTAAACCCTAGACCCTAAACCCGAAACCCAATCCTTGTACCTTCTGGTGTTTCAAGCCATGGGATTCGAACGCAAACCTAAGATCTCATATGCTGCATGGGAGCTTTTGCAAAGTATCTAGGGAAAACGTAGGGGTTCTATTGGGGTTTACACAAGGTTTAAATCGAGATTATATATGAATTATATAGGATTCAACGTTTAGGGTTAAAGTTTATTGGGTGTTACTAGGGGTTCGTCGGCTGTTTAGGGTTGATGAGGGTTTGAGAAAGTTTATGAGGGTTTAGGGCGTTCTTGTTTTGTTTTTTCGCGCTGGGGGTTCAGGGTGCAATAATCTTGGTGCAGAATCCTTAGATCGATCCGCACAGTAGATGGACTCTATATATATATATATATGTACAGGGTCATTCCCTCTTGCAGGAACTGTCTGTAGAGTTGTCTTTCAGGACCCTAAACCCTAAACCCAAAGCCCTAAACCTCAAACCCCAAAACCTTCAACCCTATATTCTAGCCCCTGTATTTTTTCTGGTAATTAACCAAGATATGAACCCTAATTGGTTGTTTCCGTGTTCTTTCCATTATTACCATATCCCATTCATATCCCCTATACAATTCTCAATATATCCCCTAAACTGTCCTCAGCCCTACACCCTAAACCCTAAACCCTAAACCCTAAACCCTAGAGAACCCCTATGTAGTTTCTAAGGCTTCAGAATCATCCCGGGGGTCAGACCTTAAGCGGTAAACCCGCACCCTTAGCCTCAAATCCCAAACTCCAAGTCCTAAACCCCCAAGCCCTGAATCCTAGATCTCGTCTGAAGAGTCTAAACCCTAAACTCTAAGCTAACAGGACGGTGAGAAGTATATCATCCAGTTCACTGAAGAGCTGCTTGGACAAGACTGGAGCTGGTCTAGGGTTTAGGCTGTATGTTTAGTGTCTGCGGTTTAGGGGTTAGGATTCAGGGTCTAGGGTTTGAGATATCAGGAGTTAGGGTTTAGGACTTAATTAGCGTTTAGGGAGTAGGATTTAGGGCTTAGAGTTTAGGGTTCATGGCCTCGTTCAGTGGATGGTATGAGGCCTTATGTCCGTGTTGAGGGCGACTCCCTCCCCCTAATGATTCATCGCGCCCCATTCCGCCCAAATGTTACACTTTTTTGAGAGCCTCGTGGTTTCAAAATCGAGGGGCTAGGAGCGTGTCATGTTCGAACCCTAATCGCGAATGTAGACCTCTGATTAATATACCCTCTTCCCGTAATAGGGATTATAATACGGATCCAAGTAATACGGCCCTTGAAAGGAAGAGGTTTATTAATGACCCTAAATCGTAGTTTCCATTTTCTTTTCCATCATCCCTATATAATCCCTAGATTCCCCCTATATTACTATACTATATATTACCCCTATAAGGCCTACAAATAAGGGGTCGACATTACAGTACTTGGAGGCCCATGGGACTTAGTAACCACTTACAACTGGGATTATAACCCTACCTATAATTCGGGGTAACCCCTATAAGCCCACTCAGGGGGAGTATAAGTAGCGTTTTAAGCCCAGTTATAAGTAGTTACTAAGCCCCATGAACCCTAAACCCTAAACCCTAATCCCTAAACCCTATATATCCCTATAGCCCCCTTTAAGGGGACCTAAGTAGTCACTAAGTCCCATGGGCCTCCAAGTACGCTGTATTCGGAGTTTCGGGCAGGGCATTCGGCCCAATAGGCAGCTTTGAGGGCTGGGTTTAGGGTTTTAGGGTTTGGGGTTTAGGGTGTAGGGTTTGGGGTTGGGGGTTTAGGGTTTGGGGTTCAGGGTTTAGGGTTTGGGGTTTAGGGTTGGATAGAACCCCAAAAGAAGTTTCCACGATCCCACCCCCCACCCCGCTAACATTAATTCTCCCTTATGTGGTATATTACAATATTTTGGGAGTATTTAGTTAGTTATTCGTTTGCGTGAAAGAAGTCAACAAAAACGACAAGCCTTAAAGATCTGGCAATATCTGGCATATTCACCAGCCCTTATGAAAGTATGGTACTGTATACTATACTCGCCAACAATACTCTGATTATTCGGGCTCCTGCAATCCCTAAACAGCACTTCCACAACCATTACATGTGTGATTCTATGTTCCATGTCTCAGTATTCCTTTCATAGTACGTATTCGGATTTCGGCCGCTATATTGTGTGCGTCAGTAGGTCGTGGCATGTAGCCGTTCTACACGTCCGTTGTCATGCAGCTGTGACCTCTGGAAATCATGTGGTTTAGGGTTTAGGGTTTGTTTCTCAAAGCTACGCGTTTCTGGGGTCTAGTAGTCTCTTCGGTGTATGAGTGCATCCTGTCAGTGAATCCTGTTCATGGACCTTAATTTGATAAATGGTAACGATCCCGCCCTAAACCTAATGCCTAGATCTTGTTTTGATGTTAAAACGAACCTGAGGCATCCTTCCACAGAACCAGAATGCCAGGACGCAAAAGATAACCTAGCCCAGTACTGGGCCCCAAGGCCCAAAACCAAGCGGTTCAGGTTTAGGTTTTAAGGTTTAGGATTTAGGGTTTAGGAATTGAGGTTTAGGGTTTAGGCATCCAACACCACAAGCCCCTAAACCCTAAACCCTAAACCCAAGCACCCAAACTCCAAGCTTTGGACCCCAAATCCCAAAGCTATCAACCGCCTTGGCTCTGGGTTCCCAGACCCTTTAACCTAGGGTTTCAGGGTTTAGGGTTTAGGGTTTAGGATTTAGGGTTTGGGGGGTTTAGGGTTTAGGGTTTCTAAGCCCTAAACCCTGAACCCTACACCCCAACACCAAGGCATGGCCTGATTGACATTTTTCATCCGGGCCCCAACAACTCCATCGATGTCTGCATGAATGACACAGGGAGCGATACAGCTCTGACTCTGTTTCCTTGATTAGATTTTGTTTGAACTGCCAAGTTGTGTGGCAACAGCTTCCACACTTCCGTGCAACAACGCACTTTTGTTTCGCCAGTGAGGGCAGAGTGCTATGGCTGCTGTCTTCTTTCGGCTCTCTTGAGAGATAAAGATATTAGACATGTAAAGATGCAGCTCGCCCTGCGCACAGATGCACGAGGCATGGTGTAGCAGAGGAAAGCTTCCAATTCTTTTAGCAAATCCTCAGCAAAAGCTGCTTATCAGGTCGCGATGCCTGCAGCAAGAGGCTTCTGGTCACAGAATCTTTTGGTAGTTCAGTGTCTTCCTAAAACCCTGCCCTAAACCCTAAACCCTAAACCCTAAACCCTAAACCCCTAAACCCTAAACCCTACACCCCTAAACCCTAAACTCGAAACCTTAAACCCTTCCCTCTATCAGCCAAGCTTTTGGGACCCGCAAGCCGGGCCACCCTTGCTCGGGCATGGTGAACATCCTGGGTTGCTGTTAAGGAAC